TAGATTCAGTCTTACGGGTACTAAAAAGGACTTTCTTTATTGAGTTCCTTTTTTCTTTGATCCTGCTCCTCTTTGTGGTCTAATCTAAGATAAATAATGTGCTTTAATATATAATACAAATATAAAAGAACTATCCTCTGTGTTGTTGGGTTGCTTAGAATATAATCAAGGAACTTTAAACCCTTCATTTGGCAATTATTTATTTACATAAAGATTTGTTTTCTTTGATGGGATAAGTGAGATTTTTTGTCTCAAAAAGTGCAGTTAGATGGGTAGGAGTAAATCTCTGCATGTCTCAAGATTTCAAGTTATGGGATTTTATTTTAATTGTGCTTGGGTTTTTTTACCAGTTGCATCCAGTCTCTTACTTGAAATACATTGGGTTTGCCTTTCTTCCCACTCCCTTGTATCCCTCCCCTTCGCACTAATACTGTGTCACATCCAGTCCCACGCAACATTTGAGGAATTGATTTTCACCAATTTCCACTGAGTCCTCTTAGTTACAGCCAAAGTGCTGAAGTGTGTTAGCCTTATTACAGTAGTTAAACATTAGGATCATTTTGTTTTAGCGCTACCATTCCCTTTTGATTGATCCTTTGAAGCTGTGTCCTGGAAACTATACCAGTATTTACTAGCAGCCGCCACTTTTATTGCTTTTGAGATAGTACAAATGCACAGGCAAGTAAAGATACATTTCATTTAGAAAGGAGTTGGGTTTAATTTAAAACAGCCGGGGGAGCAGGAATGAAAAATCCTTAGTAACGCCAGGAAATCCCAGGAAGTATTTTAAGATGAAGAAAATCTCATGTGGATTCCCCCCCTCCCCCAAAAAAAAAAAAGGTTTGTACAAGAACAAAATTTGAGACTTTGGGGTTTTTTTCCTTCTCTAGAAGCACTATCAGATTATTTTAATGGATGCCTACATATCGTCAAGCAGACCTTGGGAAAGCCCCCACTCCAAGAAAAACCCTACAGTTCCAGACAACCCTTTAATCTGAGAACATTCACATTTTAAAAACACTAATGTTCCCAGATCCTAGTCTACATACACCAGGAAAATGCATGCTTCCTAGGGTAGGTGCCCAGAACTTTCCAAAAGAACACCCGGACAGTGTTATATGGTTTTTTGTCAATTCTTTTTTATTTCTGAGTTATTTTTGGACAAAATACCCTCTAATATAAGTTTTACTAGCATCCCACACTAACTGAATATCCATGTCTTGATTTAAGTTAAATTTGAAAAATTCTTTAAATGTTTGCTTACAATTCTTCATTATATTCTCGTTTTGAAGTAATGATTCATTCTATCGCCACCTAAATGTTTCTGCTTTCCTTTCAAGTACTAGGATCACTGGGTTATGATCTGAAATTGTTGTAGGTAGGATTTTTGTCTGTAGATCTTGAGGTGTAACCTTGGTGGATATGCATATCATATCAATTCTAGAGATTCTAGAGAGAATCTTATGTCTTTCGGAAGCTATACAGTTTGAACCTCCCTTACCTGGAATTCCAAGGAGCCCCCGGTGGTGCAGTGGGTTAAACCCCTGTGCTGGTAGGACTGAAGACCGACAGGTCACAAGTTCGAATCTGGGGAGAGGCGGATTCGGGCGTCCCCTGGGCAACGTCCTTGCAGATGGCCAACTCTCTCACACCAGGAGTCACTCCTGACATGACAAAAAATTTTCCTGGAATTCCAAAATTCTCCCAAATACTTCAAAATCTGTCCATGTGGCAGGCTGAAATAGTGAAATCTTTGCTTTCAGTATACACAAAATAATTGAAAGTATTGTATCTAAAATTACCTTCAGTGTATGTATTCAGGTATATATAAAACAGTGGGTTCTGTGTTTAGATTTGTGTCTCATCCCCAATATATCTCATTACATATATGCAAATGTTCCCAAATAAAAATACATAAATTTAAAATCAGAAACACTTCTGGCTACAAGCCTTTCAAATCACAGATATTCATTGTGTATTAGGAAGTTAAAATCCTATATAATTCAAGATTCTGCTGTGCTAGCAAATAAAATGATGTACTGGGGATGTCATCTGAACTGACTTTAATAATATTAAATCCTGTTCAGGGATAATATAAAACAATACAATTTGATTTCAAGAATGTATAGTGCTATTCAACACTTGCGTGCTTTGACAAAATTGAAGAGTGAGGCCAGTGAAACAAAACAGTGTTTACTTATTATATGGTACATTAGCAGAGTCAGCTCTTCCTGTGTTCATTGACAGCTATGTCAAAATTCTTGTAATACAATGATGGCAGGGGAGAGAGATCTTGGAATTGGGAAGGTTTTAGGTGAGAAAGAGCCAAATAGTCTCTTGAGGGTTCTCCATCCCCATGAGAATCTTTACTTCCAACCTGAAAGAAAGGCACAAAGCACTGCTTTTTCCCCATTATATTTTTCGCCATTTGCGCAAAGCTTGTCTCCACAAAACAAGTGTGTTGTGCTTTTGGTAACTGCATGTGCACAGCAAGCAGAAAAGGATATGCTGATAGAGCCAAAAGACTAACAAAACAAACAAAATGACAAACTAAATGCAGCTGTACTGTTTTTTACTATCCATGCCACAAGGCAATGTTTATTGAAACATTAAAGGTTATATTCTTATAGAATTGTGCAGAAATCAGTCTTAACAATGTGAAAAATCTTTCCAATAGTTGCAGGAAAACAAGAAATCTGACCATGTATTTTTCTTAGTTCTTCTAAAGCAGTGTTTCTCAACCTTCCTAGTGCCATGATCTCTTGATACAGTTTCTCATGTTGTGGTGAACCCCAATCATGAAGTAATTTCTGTTGCTACTTCATAACTGTAATTTTGCTACAGTTACAAATCATAATATAAATATCTGATATGCCCCTTTTTAATGTAAGGACTGGATCTTTCCAGGCCTGTGCCCTGTGGGGATTGATTCCTGGGATGACTTTCATGATCCTGAGGGTCAATCCCCACAGCCTGAGGGAGCAAGATGGCACCCCCTCCCCCCCCCCAATTCCCCCCTCAAAACTTCAGTGAGGGCCCTGGCTGCATATTTGGGCTCCTCAGTAGAAATCCTACCTTCCCCTCCCAACCTCCCGATGCATCATTTTGATGTGCCAGTACCCCAGGGAAAGCCCGTGGTTTAGGGTGGGTGTCAAGACTAAATCCTGGGAGGAACTGGGATATAATACCCCAGTTCCTCCTAGGATTTAGTAATATCTGGAAGGGCCATTAGCCTTTCCTGGGAGAATCTAAAAGAAGCATCAAGGCTCTCTTTTTTCTCCACTTTTGGGCTTTCTAAGTATTGCGGTGAAAAATACATATTCAGCTTAAGAACAAACCTACAGTACCTATCTTGATCATAACTTTGGGACTGTCTGTAGTGGTGAAGGGTCATTGTCCCCCTGAGTAAGTGTTTTCCTCTTATCTGCAGAATGCTCTGTACTTTATCTATGGATCATACCAGAATCGATAATTTTGATTTCACAACCTGACCTCAACGTATACATAAGGTCAAGTTATGCACATTGTATTTTCATAAATTTTGAATGGTTTGAAATACTGTAAGGAAATGTTCTACAAATAATATCCATCACCAGCAATCCTTCCTTCCTTCCTTCCTTCCTCCCTCCCTCCCTCTGTAAAAACACATACATATATGTATAAAAGCTGCCTTGAGGTGTGGTAACGTCTCCTTCTCTGGAGGGTTATAAACTGAGACTGATGTCCATCTGCCAAGAGTACTTTGATTCTGTATTCCTTCATGGCAAGGTATACGACTGGTTGGCCTTCACAATAAGCCCCAAATTTATGGTTCTGTGGTTCATTTTTTCAAGATTTCACTGACTCCCCATGAGGATATTGTGACTCACTAATATTTCAACCTGGGCAAGATGTTGAGAACCACACTTTTAAATAATCCCTGTTGAGTAATTTCATTATGGACCTCATCAGATAGAGATCCAAAAACCATAGGGTAGCAGAGGAAACCATGGTGTGGCAACCAGCTTCATCTCCTTACCATGGTTGGTTGTTTCCTGTCTGTCCCCAGATTCTACAATGAGGATAGGATTTGGGTAGTAGTCACCCATATCCTCAGGGCTTCCTCTTAGCATGCCTAAACCGAGCCCAGTGGAGCCCCGCTGGAAGTAGCCCTGCGTCATATGAGAGGCTGTGGTAGACTCTGTCCCAGCAGCATGCTAGGACAGAGGAAACCCTCTGTCTGATGAGGTCTTTAGAGCTTTAATACTGAGTTTTAATTCTAGTTTAGTTTTAGTTTTTTTCTTTTTTCTTATGTTTTCTTTTCTTTCATTCATTTCTTTTTTTCTTTTTTCTATTTTACTAAATACATATTACTATAATTGCTAATCAGCTTGTTTATGTTAAAATGAATAAATAAAAATATTGCTATGATGTCAAAACAAATGTAAACAATATAACTAAAAAGAAAATGGGAGCTGTGGGACTCATTTTCTTTTTTAGTCCATGACAAAAATGGCTGTCCCTTGGGAAGTCAGTTGATCCCACATTTCAGATCTTCAAGGGCCATTTGTGCAATTAGAGACAGCCATGGAAACACAGGGTCTGGGCTTTTCTACCAGAGCCGATTTTTATTCTTTCCCATTTTACCAAATAGTTTAATCTCTTAATGTTGACAGTGTGGGCTGTCAGAGATTGAGTGCAGCCCAAACCTCTTTCCATACAGGATTTTTGGGCTCTCTGAGGTGAAGGCAGATGTTTGCAGCCAAGACATGCTCTGCTGGGTCTGGGCCAGCATTTCTCCAATATGATCAAGAAGGCAAAGCCAAAAATCTTGCAGTGGAGTTTTGCTCTCTTTGGGTGAAACGAATACACCACTGTGAGGGAAATTTGAGATGATTGTTCATTTTTGTTTAGAAGATTTATAATGGGTGTGAAGGCATTCGTGCAACCCCTCCTGATTTTTTTTTAAGTCTCAGATTCTTTTGCCTCATAATTTGTCTCTCTTGATCTTTCCTTTATAGTCAGAGCTACCTGCAAGCTGCGAGTGATGTCCCTGGTGGTCACAGTTTGGATCCAGCAGCAAACTACAATTCCCCCAAGTTCCGCTCAAGGAACCAGAGCTATATGAGAGCAGTGAGCACCCTCAGTCAGGCCAGCTGCGTCAGCCAGGTTGGAAACTTTTAATTCTTCACTTTCAATTTTTTAAAACAGGAACAGCAATATTAATGTTTGTCACATGTTTTAGCCTGGTTATCAGAAATGTAGCTGTCTTCATTTCTGAATAAATGCCAGGGAGCTGTGATTTAAACAGTTTCAGATTATACAAAGGGAATATTATGGGCTTAAACCGTTTGTGATGGTTTGAATGTTGTTGTTCATTCGTTCAGTCGTCTCCGACTCTTCGTGACCTCATGGACCAGCCCACGCCAGAGCTCCCTGTCGGCCGTCACCACCCCAGCTCCTTCAAGGTCAGTCCAGTCACTTCAAGGATGCCATCCATCCTCTTGCCCTTGGTCGGCCCCTCTTCCTTTTTCCTTCCACTTTCCCCAGCAAATTGTCTTCTCTAAGCTTGCCTGTCTCCTCATGATGTGGCCAAAATACTTCACTTTGTCTCTAATATCCTTCCCTCCAATGAGCAGTCGGGCTTTTTTCCTGAGTATGGACTGCTTTGATCTTCTTGAGTCCAAGGCACTCAGAACTTTCCTCCAACACCACAGTTCAAAAGCAGATCTTCCTTCGCTCAGCCTTCCCTAAGGTCCAGCTCTCACATCCGTAGGTTACTACAGGGAATACCATGGCTTTGACTAGGCGGATCTTTGTTGCCAGTGGGATGTCTCTACTCTTTACTATTTTATCGAGATTGGACATTGCTCTCCTCCCAAGAAGGAAGCGTCTTCTGATTTCCTGGCCACAGTCTGCATCTGCAGTAATCTTTGCACCTAGAAATACAAAGTCTGTCACGGCCTCCACGTTTTCTCCCTCTATTTTCCAGTTGTCAATCATTCTTGTTGCCATAATCTTGGTTTTTTTGATGTTTAGCTGCAACCCAGCTTTTGCGCTTTCTTCTTTCACCTTGATTAGAAGGCTCCTCAGCTCCTCCTCGCTTTCGGCCATCAGAGTGGTGTCATCTGCATATCTGAGGTTGTTAATGTTTCTTCCAGCAATTTTCACCCCAGCTTTGATTCATCCAGCCCCGCACATCGCATGATGTGTTCTGCATACAAGTTAAAAGGGTTGGGTGAGAGGATGCAGCCTTGCCGTACGCCTTTCCCAATCTTGAACCAGTCTGTTGTTCCGTGGTCAGTTCTGACTGTTGCTACTTGGTCCTTGTACAGATTCCTCAGGAGAGAGACAAGGTGGCTTGGGATGCCCATCCCACCAAGAACTTGCCACAATTTATTATGATCCACACAGTCAAAGGCTTTAGAATCGTCAATGAAGCAGAAGTAGATGTTTTTCTGAAACTCCCTGCCTTTCTCCATTATCCAGCGGATATTGGCAATTTGGTCTCTCGTTCCTCTGCCTTTTCTAAACCCAGCTTGAACATCTGGCAACTCTCGCTCCATGTATTGCTGGAGTCTTCCTTGCAGGATCTTGAGCATTACCTTACTGGCATGAGAAATAAGGGCCACTGTACGGAAGTTTGAGCAGTCTTTCGCATTTCCCTTTTTTGGTATGGGGATATAAGTTGATTTTTCCAGTCTGATGGCCATTCTTGTGTTTTCCATATTTGCTGGCATATGGCATGCATCACCTTGACAGCATCATCTTTTAAGATTTTAAACAGTTCAGCTGGGATCCCGTCGTCTCCTGCTGCCTTGTTGTTAGCAATGCTTCTTAAGGCCCATTCAACCTCACTCCTCAGGATGTCTGGTTCTAATTCATTCACCACACTCAAACTATCCTCAATATTATTATCCTTCCTAGACAGATCTTCTGTATAGTCTCGCCACCTTCTCTTGATCTCTTCAGCTTCTGTTAGGTCCCTGCCATCTTTGTTTCTTATCATACCAATTTTTGCCTGAAATTTACCTCCAATGTTTCTAATTTTATGGAAGAGGTCTCTTGTCCTTCCTATTCTGTTGTCTTCTTCCACTTCCATGCATTGCTTATTTAAAAATAGTTCCTTATCTCTTCTGGCTAACCTCTGGAATTGCGCATTTAACTGGGCATATCTCCCCTTATCCCTGTTTCCTTTTGCTTTCCTCCTTTCTTGGGCTACTTCCAGTGTCTCAGCAGACCACCATTTTGCCTTCTTGGTTTTCTTTTTCTTTGGGATCTACTTTGTTGCCGCCTACTGAACAATGTCTCAGATTTGTGTCCATAGTTCTTCTGGGTCTCTTTTTACTAAATCTAGTCCTTTAAATCTGTTCTTCACTTCCACTGCCTATTCGCTAGGAATGTTTGTGAGATCCAGGCTAACTGGTCTGTGTTTTTTCCCTGATCTCTTTAGTTTTATTCTAAATTGGGCAATAAGAAGTTCGTGATCTGAGCTACAGTCAGCCCCAGGTCTTGTTTTCACCGACTGGATGGATGTCCGCCACCTTTGGATGCAAAGGATGTAGTCAATCTGATTTCGGTGTTGACCGTCTGGTGAGGTCCATGTGTAAAGCCGTCTTTTAGGTTGTTGGAAGAGAGTATTCGTTATACACAGCGAGTTTTCCTGGCAAAATTCTATCAGCCTGCGTCCCGCTTCATTTTCTTCTCCCAGACCATGCTTGCCTGTGATCCTGTTGTCATTTGACTTCCCACCTTGGCATTCCAGTCTCCTGTAATGAAAATAATGTCTCTTTTTGGTGTATTATCCAGTAGGTCCTGCAGATCCTCATAGAACTGATCTACTTCTGCTTCTTCAGCAGCTGTGGTTGGGGCGTATATTTGGATCACTGTAATGTTGAAAAGGCTTTCCTTGCACTCGAATTGAGATCATTCTGTCATTTTTTGGGTTGTATCCAAGCACCGCTTTAGCGAATTTCTTATTAATTATGAAGGCTACTCCATTTCTTCGATGTTCCTCTTGTCCGCAGTAGTAGATCTAGTGGTCATCTGATGTGAAGTGGCCCATTCCAGTCCACTTCAGTTCGCTGACCCCCAGAATGTCTATCTTTAGTCTTGACATCTCACCAATAACAACATCCAATTTGCCCTGGCTCATAGATCTTACATTCCAGGTTCCTATGGTGTGTTGATCTTTAGAGCATCGGATTCGTCGTTCACCTCAGTACCGTCGGCCGCTAGCCTTCCTTTCGGCTTTGAGCTAGCTGCGTCATCACATCTGGGGCTAGTTGAACTTATCCTCTGCTCCTCCCCAGTAGCATTTTGGCCATCTTCCGACCTGGGAGTCCCATCTTCCAATGGCATACCGACATATCTCTGGTTGTACTGGTCCATTTAGTTTTCTTGGCAAGGATACTGGTGGTTTGCCATTGCCTTCCCCAGGGATCACGCTTGGTCTGACCTCTCTGCCACAACCGTCCCGTCTTGGGTGTCCCTTCACGGTTTCGCTCATGACATCATTGAGGTGCTCAAGCTCCAGCGCCCCGACAAGGCGGTGATCCTTTGCTGGAGTTGGTTTGAATAAAAATTACTAAATTGGCGTGACTGGTCATTTGCCTGATTTGGAAGTTAATGGTTTTTTAACAAGCAGGACTATATTGGACCCACTCACAGAACTGTTTTTCGTAATGGGAAACTGGTTTGTACATATTGGATTACATTTACATGCCCACTCCATGATGAATATGCATTTGATAGCAAACGTGGGTTTGCCATCCTCCTTTCAATAAGAATATTATAAAATCAGTATGTGTGTTGCTTTGAGCATAAATTGTGGAAGACCCCAATTGGGAATTGCCAGCCTACACACACTGTATCTCTCATCTTTTGAGAATGAGAGATAGGAGAATATATTGATTGTGCTGTACTACACTTGTTAGAAACCACACTGTGTTGTTTAAGTCAAACCCCTGGAGGGTTAAGCTGTGACAGGATTGGATGCTTCTGGTTACTGGATATGTGAATAACCTTAATGTTCTTGGATTAGAAATGTATGAAAGTCATCTAAACTGGAACAGAAAGTTCTTAAGCTGTTTCAATCAATGAGCTTTCCTAAATGATACAAACTTCTGATTGCCAACTTGAATTCCAAAAGGGTCTGATTGGCTGTTAGTAGTGTATCACTGTCATTTCCAAGAGATGAAGTTACAGAAGAGCTCAGACCAGTCAATTATATTTGCCAAATGTATTGACTCTTCCAGATAATGAAATATAAATCAGAAAAGACAGAGGGAAAGATAGCAAGAAAGAAATTCATTAGCTCTGTACAATTGACTTGCAAGCAAACTGATAAAAATTATACTAACAGATGGCCCACATTCTCATTGTGAGTCCTAGTATCAGAGAAGGTGTCGTCTCTCCTAAAACAGGAAGGGCGCAGTATCTTCAGTCCTTTTGTTCCCATGACACAGTTTCAATTTGAATCCATCTTAAATGTAGGAGCAGAGGACAGCGCTTCCAATGAATTGTTGCAGAGGTTGAAGGAGCACCAAAAGGGGGAGCATGAAAATCAACCAGAGGGATGTTTCCTACACCACTACTTCTTAAATGGTGGGCCCCAATCCCAAATGGCGTCCCCTTAGCTCAGCGTTGGGTTACAAAAAAATTGGAAACAGTAAAAAAGTCTGAAAATCACTTGGTGGTTGTTTTAGATATTTACTCAAATTTGTTGCACAGTGTTTACAGCGGGCTCTGTAGAAGATGCTTCAGCTGTACTTCATAAAAAGAAAAATCAGCTTGTTTAGCGAGTCTTGCAAATGCTGATTTGTTATCTGTAAAAAAAATATTTTTATACTTATATTATGTACCTGTATACCTGAGGACATATAAAAATTTCCCAGGCCAAAAATGGCCTAAGTGGAAAAGTTTAAAAAGCCCTGCCCTACACCATGTGGCAGAACACCTTGCACTGAGTGCAGTGCCTTTTTGAGATTCACACCAGTTATGTGCTCTCCATCTCCACCCCCTCAACCATAGCATAGGCATGATTCATAGAGCATACATTAATGCTACAGATAAAGATTTATATACAAATTCATTCCCCTCTGCATCTCCTCACTGGAGATAATTATACGTCCTGCCAGCAAATTGAGTTTACAGGCAGCAAATAAGATCTTCATCTTTCTTGTAACTATATTATCCCATCTTTCTTTCTTAATAGGGTTAGCATAAGGCTGCTCAGAATAAGAATGTTTGTCTTACATTAGTTGATCTAATTTGATTAGAATAATAATAGCAATTACAAGGATCAGAAACAATTATTTTCACACTAATTTAATTATGGAAGTTTATTAATGGGAAACGAAGAGTAGGCTTTTCAGTGTCAACAGATGTCCTTCACTGAAAATGTCTGTTTAATCCAAAAATGTATCTTCAGTCAACTGGATTTCCCCTCCATATTATGTTGACCCAGTTTACTCATTGCAGTTGTAGGAACATGGAATCATATATACAAACAGTCACAACTGTCCATTGGCAAAGTAAGCAAAGGTAGTATCTGTCAACTGGGCTATAGTGTACAACAGAGGTGGCCAAACTTGAGGTGTTCCAGATCTTGTTAGACTACATTTCCTGCCATGCGTCGTTGTTAGAATTGCTACCTTTGGCAAATAGGTTTTACAGTTCAATGACAACTGGAAAACTGTACATTTTCCACTATTGGTCTACAGAAATTCCTGTCTTGCCAAATGACCATCACAGTTCTAGGAACAATTGTTGAATAGTGGTCATTCATGTTAACATATATCTGTCAGAACAGGTTTTCAAGGACAACAATATGTAGTGCAATCTAGCCCTATATTCATAATGACAACAAACCTAATCTGGGTTAGAAATTCAGCGTACTTCTATTTTAAAGGATAAATGGTTAGTGGAGTTTCTCCCAGTATGCTATAGGTCCCTCAAGATAAGTGCTTGTGAACCAAGATATTCTGATGGATCATTTTATTTGGTACTAGTTCTTTTACTTGATACTAGTCCAGCTCTTATTATGAAAGATACACTATATTAATTCTCAAAAATATGTGATGATATGTGATCTTTCTCTAAGGTAAAAACCTTTCTGGTATCCAACTCTGAAATATTTGCGGGTCTACTTTTTTCCTGTGAAGAAGGAAATTTTCCACAGAATATTTTCATTCCTGGAAAGCCCTTGTTAAATTTATTTCTGTTTATCACTTGGATTTTTTACTTGGCTTTTCACAGTCAATCATATCCCCTGAAGCATCTTACAGACATCCATTAAAGTTCAGCAGCATATCAGAAGCATTCAACAATAAGTTAACAAGAAACAAAATTGCAGCAGCGCCCCTGGGGAATCCCAAGATGATTTAGAGGGGTAGAGCCACGTCCTCCAGTCTGTAACTCTGGGGCTACAACACACAATTTCTTTCTTCTTGCAGCCCCCCTCTCTTTGTACTTCACATCTAATGTTGTGACAATATCCCGCTCTTCTGGTAATACAGTGCAACTCAAGCAGAATTCTCAAGGGTGAGCAATTTTGAATATAGATGGTAGAATAGCAACAATAATATAACTGCCACAAACCATGGTTCCCAGTGGCAGTTGTTCATTTTAGAATCCAATTTTGCCTCTAAAGTGCACCCCTGAATGAGAAGTTTTGGATGGATTCATAATTTAACTACTCTAAAGGAAAGACAACAGAACAAGCCATGGCCTTGTTAGATATAAGAGGAGATCGTGCCCCATAGTGGAGCTATGAAATGCCCCATGAAAGTTCCCTCATATCATGCTCTATAGAGAGACCTAAGCATCCACGTTTCCCATCTCCACCTACTTTGCACACAAGTGGAAGAAGATTTACATTTTTTAGTTTGCAATTTGAAACAAGTTATAATTTTACTGTTACTTCTGAATATGGTTATAACACCTCTGGTTCCAGATTATGCCTTGTTACCTTGAACAAAGGAACATCTTTTTCCAACTTTGGTTGTTATTATAACAAGACGCCCTGGTTCTCCTCGAGATACAAGTACCAGCCTTAAACTTCCTCTCATTACATTTTGAAATAGAAAATTGTGGGTTTTCCATTACAGATTGAATGACTTTCCAAAAGCTACCTGTACTTTGAGTCTTTGAGGAAGTATTTTTAAAATACCCATATATCTGTTTTGCTTTGAAGATGCATTCCGGAAAAAATATATGGAGAGAGGGGGGGAAAAAACAAACATTATTTACCCAGTTATTCTAATACTGATTGTGTAAATGTATACTTAGAGGATTATTTTTACAAGATACTTGATGTAGTCAAACTGAAAACCAATCTCCCAATACGTTGCCCTGAATTCATATCAAATTTTTCAAGTCAAAGCCAATGTATGCAGTTCAGTTATGTTAATATTTATTATTATGTGATTTTAAAAAATGCAAAAAGGGTTTGGGTGTTGGGAGTAAGTGGGTGTTTTTGTATCTTCAGGTAGTGCCTGTTTTTGAGGTGTTGCAGCAGAGTCCATTTCTGACAAAGCAGGCCAACACAAAAAAACAAAACAAATGCAATGTTGTTGTTTATCTAGATGAGTGAAGCAGAGGTCAATGGGCAATTTGAATCTGTTTGTGAATCAGTGTTTAGTGAAGTTGAAGCTCAGGCAATGGATGCCCTCGACTTGCCAGGTTGTTTCCGAACCAGAAGCCACAGTTACTTGCGCGCCATTCAGGCGGGTTACTCTCAAGATGATGAATGTATCCCTGCAATGGCATCTTCCAATATCACCTCAACAATCAGGTCAACCACAGGTAAGATGTTCACTTTTGTAGTGAATGGTTCCACATACGATACATTGAAAAATGTGAAAGTTGTTGCATGAATATAAAGTTATGTTGCTGCATAGCCAGCCATAGCTTCTTGTGTGGAAAACAATTAAGTTTAATAACACCTCTCATTTTAGTCTCAATATTAACTTAAAATTTGCATATATTTAGTGTATCTTTTCAGTGTTCTTTCTCAGCTCCACAGCATAAATTGTAGAAACAGCAACAAGCATTATTTAATGCTGGATCCAAAATACGTCTCTTTATTTTGAAAGTTTCATTTGCTTAAGTTTCCTCTTTTCCATCTTTTACCCCTGGAATTTTAATATCTAATTTTATGCAAGAGATAACAATTTGTTTGATGTGACTCCGGTGTTCTTAAAATTGCACCTATGGTATGGAATATTGAGTGAGAAAGAGAGAGAGAATGAGAGAGAAAACTGTAGAAACAAGTTTGAAAGTTCAAACTTTGTTCAAAGCAGCACATAGGGAAAATCTCAGAACAATTTTATGGAGGGAGTGGTGCATCATGTATGTAATTTCTCCATCATTTGCCACAAATCATTATCTTTGCTTCCTGTTAGTTAATCCCAACCAGATTAGATCCGTTCAGTGAACTGATGAATGATGAGTCAACAGGTTGATAAATCCAATTGTTTCAATAGATCTACTTGAGTAGGCTGCAACAACTAGATTCTGGCTCTTACTATAAATGTGTCAAAAGTCAGGTCTTCCTAGATCAATTAATTTGGTAGCCTGCAGAAATGTATACTGAGGAACAGCTGCCCCCTTCGCCTAGTTGTCACAAACAGCAGATCAGGAGCTACTATTTGGTCTGCAAGTGGAAACTCCCATCTTAAAACAAAACAAGCAGAGAGAAGACTAAGGTCCCATCTACACATGCTGTAAAATATATAATGGTGTGGATTACATGCTGGGGGAGGCTAGAAAACACACGTGCCTAATGCACGCTGAAATGCACATCCACGTGGAAAACAAGTGTTTAAAAAGTCAGGAGAAAGTTTAAAAAAATCACTGATAAAATATGCTGCAGCTGGTCACAGTATGAATTCTGAAGAGCGGAAAATTGGGATGAACATGTGCAGCACTCATGTAAACAGCACCACTTCTAGAAGAAGGAGTTGTGGATAAAGGAACCAGATGTAGCATTCTCAGGAAGGTTAAGAAATACCTTTTCCCTTCCTTCTCAGGGAGAAATCGTCTTCCCCTTTTTGTTTTTTGAGTTGAAAGATGAGCACCATTGCTGATTCTCATCCAATGGGCTCCTCCAGTTCAGCATATTTTTTTAAATGGGATAAGAAAAGAAAAGTCAATCTGTTAAACGCAAGGCCTGCTGGCCGAATCTGGACCACCATGCCATTTTATGTGGCCCTCCAGATGCTGGACTACAACTCCCATTTTCTTCATCATTAGACATCCTGCTTAGAACTGATGGGATTCGTGATACACTTAACATCTGGGAGGCTGCAGTTTGTTTTGTTTAGACAGGATAATGGGGTTTGAATTTGGATACAAGGCTTGTGGATATAATGGCTGACTTTAAAATGTTATTTTACCTTTCCTCAATCTCAGGGCAAAAAGGGCTGTTGAGTCACAATTCCCATTTTCCCCAGCCAACATAGCAGATAATCAGGGCCGTAGCCAGAAAAACCTTTTGGGAGGGGTTGAAATTTTCGGGGGGGGGTTTGAAAATTTCATGGGGGGGTGTTGAAACCTGCCTCCTAGCTCACGCTGAAGCAAAGAGCATAGCAGGGGGCAGAGCAGCCTTCAATAGCCTGCAGCTCCGCCCCTGTCAACCACCTCCACCAAGTCTGGCCTCCTTAATGAGAGCATTCAACACCCCCCCCCACTTGGTTGCTTCGCTACATCGGCTATTGCTGCAAGTAATGACAGTGTGAATAAATTGTCAATATTTGCCTGAGATAGTGCTTGCAGTTCTGGAGGGACTCTTAATTTTTTTGCATATCATAGACTTAGCATGGGGATTTGGTTAACCAGTTAAAATTCATGAGTAAACCAGGTTTTTTTAAAAAAAATCTGAAACATTTCGGGGGGGGTTGAACCCCTAAAACCACCCCCTCGCTACAGGCCTACGGATAATCATAAGTGATGGGAGTTGTCATTCAATAACATCTGAGGACCTAAACTTGGTAAAAACTAAGGAACACCAACTACTGTGTAAAAAGAGTATAGTTGGCTCTCTGTATCCACAGATTCCTCATTTATGGGTGCAACAGACCTTTGAAGACCACCATAAAGCTCATGTGGCTTGACACACCTGACTTATAAGAGCATTTCCAACTCATCTCCTTAGTTTTATAGCAACGGCACAAAACCTATCCCCTTCTACAGTGATCTGTAATTCCCTATCCTCTATTAGATATTTCAAATAGTAATCAGCACATTTATTTCTCTGTCCTGGTGTTTTAATGTATAATTAAAAATTCTTCTTGTTAGAACAAAGTGTGTTTTATTTTTTAATTTGGGAAGTGTTTGGTTTTCACTTTACGCATGAAGATACCTTTTCTGTCTCATGAATTCTTCAGGTAATTCCTTCTTCAAATATTTCATTGTTCTGACATGTTAATCTAAATAACAATGTCTATAGAGAAGGAAGCGAGTTCATCATTCTAAACATCACTAAATCTTTGTAGGCTGGAAATTTTGAATTTGCTTGCAGGCATCGTAATTTGTAATTTCAGCACATAAATTATCCATACCGTTGCATAATTCTGTCCTTGCTGACTGGGCAAATGCTACAATGAGAAGACTATTCCAATGGGAAACTGTGTATGTGTGTGTGTTGGCTCTCCAAGGAAGTGTAACGATTATATGCTATCACGTTAAGTGAAACTTTCAATTTCCAAACCGAGTTATTGGCTTCCCAAATGATAGAATAACTATTTCCATAGTTCTGCATCTGAATTGCCGTGGACAGCACTTTCTTTGCACATTATTTTCACACTTTAAATGGCCATTTACTTATTAATTTGAAGCTGCCCAAATTAAATATAGAACAGCATGTTAGAAATAATTGGATATGTATAGAGGCTTTTATGTAAAAGGCAGAAAGGTCAGACTTCAAATTTGTTGAAAATGGAACTGCTTTGAATCGTTGCGAACTTTAATCATATATCAGATTAATGAATCTTTTTATTATTGTTTCCTAATATAGCAAATCATAAAGGCGGTTCTCATAAATTAATATTTTTACTTGATAAACTTGAACATTTGAGATTGTTGCTAATCTGATTTCACTTAATATTTTGATACATAATCTGCTTACAAAAGGAACCCGTGGCGGTGCAGTGGGTTAAGCGAATGAGCTGTTGAACTTGCCGACCAGAAAGTTGCTGGTTTTAATCAGGGAAGCAGGTTGAGCTCCCACTGTTAGCCCCAACTTCTGCCAACCTAGAAGTTCGAAAACATGCAAATGTGAATAGATCAATAGATCTGGTGGGAAGGTCTCTGTTGGATTTGAAAAATTTAGATTGTTTTAGAAACCAGGATTGATGATAAAACTTCAGTGAAGACACCTTTTTCCCCATGAAAACTCTTCTAGGAGTTATTTTTCCTTCCTAGATGTAGATTTTTCTCACTTCCTGTTGTTTCATCCCTATTCTTAACCATGGGTCATTTGTAAGTCAGATGTTTGTAACTTGGGGGCTGCCTGTATGTGTGAAAGTGTCAGAACAGACATCTATATTGACTAGCATTTGATCAGAATCACAGTTGCACAGATTTTATCTGCTGTTAACTTGGTTGACTTGGAGATTTTCAGTTTCTTGCTCCTTGCTGCTTACCGTGGTTTAAGAAATGCCTTTATGCAGGAGTCTGGGGTCATTGGGTTCAAAAATGAAGAAGCAGCACAGCGCTGGGAGTTACCAGTGATCTAATATGCTCAGGAAGACAGCCGTGTTCTGAATACCACCATCAACTGCTATTGTGACCTTTTGGATGTTCATGAAATCTGATTGCCTGCCACAGCCTTATACTTATCCATTTCTTATAGTGGTATTGATTTCTATTTTTCCGCAATAGGCAAAGGTCAATCTTTCAGCATCAGAAGGTTTAAGTGATCGGTATTATTATTTCCAGAACTTTCTAACTGAGGCTCTCTGGTGTGGAGGTTGAGAATAAACTTGCAAAAGGTTTTTGAAATGCTGGAGAGTCCTAGGACGATATCACATTCCCATTCTAAAACAGGTGCTCTCGCTTTCCTATCATAGGACTTTCTCCTGCAGAATTCTGGAAATGTAGTTTAGGAAAGCCAAGGTGCACTCTAGCTGAGAACTCCAAAGTCCCCGTCTTTAACTACATGTCCCACAATTCTGCAGGAGACAGTCACATGATAGCAAAGCAAAAGCTCCTGTTTTAGAACATTAATGCGATATCGTCTCTAGATATTTTAATGGATCTCTCTTAGGTCCAAATCTGACATAGTTGCATAGACCTGCAGCAATTTGTATCTGTGGCCTTATATTTGTGGAAAAGTAGATTTTTTATGTTACTTATTAATAAGTTTACTGGACTTAAAGTTCAAGGTAAGGACAAGCTTATCAGTACACATCCTCCGACTGCACAATTTTCAATGGGAAATCAGAGACCACATGTTTGACTCCTCTTCATCATATGAAAAAAGTACATTTATCCATTCATTTATTTACTATATATCTACCGTGCCCTTCTTACCCCGAAGGGGACTCAGAGCAGCCTTACAAATAGTCAACAATTTAATGCCATGTAACATACATACAATAAAATAATAGACATATTTAAACCAAAAAGTTAAAACCAATCACTAAAACCATGCAGTCAAAAATAATAATCTGAGGCCATTTCAGTCGTCACTGCACTATTCTGTAATCACTTGTTGCACTGAAAAATTACTGTACAAAAGTTTGGTCCCATAACCACATTTTTAATTTCTTTCTGAAGGTCAGGAGGGGGGGAGCTGATCTGAC